TCTTTGACCTGTAGCACAAAAACAATTTCACTGCTTGCCAGCGTATGCGATAAAAGAACTAATATATGGGCCACATGCCAGTGCCTTTTCCCTCCTACTTCGGCGTCCACTGCCATTTCACATTATGACATGGGCTGTGTTCATGAATTAAAGGCAACTGCTGGGAAAATTAAGCCCTGTATGATTTGTTGTGGTGGTTAATGACTGGATCTACGCTTTACAGACTGTTGGAACTCAGACAGCCGTAAGATTTCTTTTAAAACAGTTTGGAAGGGAACAGCTCTTGCCTATTTTTGTTAAGGTGTAAATAATAGCCATAAAAGCGTACGTTGACAGCCACAATTATCTATACTGGAGAAGTTCTGAATTGAGGTTTAAGTAAGCGTCAGTTGCAATATAGGTGCTAAGTTTGTAGATCCCCCTTATAAAGATTACACAAAGCAGCACTGTAAAATTATATTTGCACTGTACAGGCAGCAAAAAACAAATGTGTAGATGATTTTATATCATACTTTGAATAGTCTTTAATCATAAAACTGTAAGTTTATGCTGATATATGGTAATTAACGGGGAGTGGCAACGTTCGGAGACGAGATGGTAGTGCTCAACACATACCGATGAAGCTCCAAGCGGCTAAATCTTTGTCAGATTGCCTCTGTTGGGAGAATCATTGAGCCAACAACTCTTTCAAAGTCAAGATCGTCAGGAGGTTGACCAGCAGGGGTGCAATATTGATCAAAGCAACTATGAAGGAAAAGTTCAAGAGAAATGGCTCTCAGTCCTGCGCAACTTCCTGTCGCCTTCACAGTGATGGTGGTGGAGGAATTGGCGAGAGTGCAGAGGGTGCGGAGAATCTCGCAGTATTGGGACCGTCATCCGGTATTTTTATGCGTGTGGGCGCGTGAGAAAGTTAAGCATTGACGAGGCTGTCATCTTCCTACTGCGCGAACTTCGGAACATCCGTATCGACACCCTTGTCGTTAATGAAACCAGGCGGAGAGTTGCGTAAGCCGGGGAATTTTGGCGGTGGCACTCAGGTGATGCTGGGAGAAGCTGACAGAAGGGTGGATGGTATTGGATTCATTGTGAAATCAGCGGCACCAAGTCGAATTCT